AGAGTATTGGAACTGTTTTCATCTACCAGAAGGGAACCTTGGTCCCATAACCACCAGGAGAGGAAGAGACTCCTGCTACACCCACCAGAAGAAATGATGGGCAGAAGACAATATAGAAGCACATTCAACAACAAAAAAACCAATATGACACCACCAGAGACTAGGGACCATACACCAGCAAGACCTGAACAAGGCAATGCAGAGGAAGCAGAAGAGAATGACTTTAAAAACATCTTCATGAAAATGATATAGTACCCCTCAAAGAGGACATGAGAAAATCCCTTAAAGTAATGGAAGAATAAAACAAACCAAAAAGTACAAGATATCAACAAATCTCTAAAGGAAACAGTTCAAGACCTAAAAACTGAAATACAGACAATAAAGAAAGCACAACCTGAAGGAATGCTGGAAATAGAAAAGCTCGATAAACGGTCAGGAACTACAGATGCAACCATAACCAACAGAATCCAAGAGATGGAAAATAGAATCTCAGGAGATGAAGATACACTAGGAGAAATAGACTCATCAACCAAAGACAATCTTAAGTCCAACAAATCCCTAACACAAACTATCCAGGAAATATGGGATACTGTGAAAAGAACAAACCTAAGAGTAATAGGTATAGAAGAAGGTGAAGAAATCCAAATCAAAGGCATAGAAAACATATTCAACAAAATCATAGAAGAACCTTTCCTAACCTAAAGAAAGACATGCCAATGAAAGTACAAGAAGGCCATAGAAAACCAAGTAGTCTGGAACATAAAAAGGTCTCCTCACCACATAATAATCAAAACCTCAAACATACATAATAAAGAGAAAAAACTAAGAGCAGCAAAGGAAAAAGGACATAAAAAGTAACATATAAAGGCAAACCTATGAGAATTACACCTGACCTTTCCATGGAAACTCTGAAAGCCAGAAGGTCCTGGGTAGATATTCTTCCTACACAAACAGACCAAGGATGCCAGTCAAGACTACTATATTCAGCAAAGTTTTCAATCAATATAGATGGAGAAAACAAGATATTCCACTACAAAACCAGATTCAAACAATACATATCCACCAATCCAACCCTACAAAAAGTTCTGTAAGGAAATCTGCAACCCAAGGAAGTTAACTACAACCAGAAAAAATATAGACAATAGATGATCCCACTTTAACAAAAGCCAAAAGAAAAAGGGGATGGAAACCCACACATAATTTCGCCACCACCACCAAATGCAAAACAAACAAGAATGAACAATCAATGATCATTAATATTCCTCCAAACTAATGGTCTTAACACAGCCCATAAAAAGACACAGGGTAGCCGAATGGATAAAAAGACAGAATCCATCCTTCTTCTGCATACAAGAAACACACCTCAACTTCAAAGACAGACGGTACCTAAGAATTAAAGGTTGGGGAAAGATTTCCCAATCAAATGGACCCAAGAAATAAGCAGGGGTAGCAATCCTAATATCCAACAAATTGGACTTTAAACTAAAATCAATCAAAAGAGAGGAAGAAGGTCACTTCCTACTATTTCAGGAGAAATCTATCAGGATGAAGTCTCATTTCTGAACACTTATGCCCAAATACAAAGGCATCCATGTTCATAAAAGAAATATCACTAAAACTCAAAGCATACATAAAACCACACACACTTATAGTGGGATACTTCAACAACCCACTCTCACCACAGGACAGGAACACCAGACAGAATTTCAACAAAGAAACAAAGGAAATAACAGAAGTTATGGCCAAATTGGGCTTAACAGACATCTATAGAGCATTCCATCCACACACAAAACAATATACCTTCTTAGGGCCATCTGGAACCTTCTTTAAAACTGACCACATACTTGGCAACATACCAAACCTCAACAGGTACAAATAACTGAAATAACCCTATATCTTATCAGACCACCATGCTTTAAAGTTAGAATTCAACAACAACGAAAATTACAGAAAACCTACAAACTCATGGAAATTAAGTAACCCCCAATTGCACAATTCCTGAGTCGAGGAAGAAATAAAAAAGAAATTAAAGATTTCCTAGAATTCAATGAGAATGCGGACACAACATACCCAAACTTATGGGACACTTTGAATGCAGTGCTAAGGGGAAAGTTCATAGCTCTAAGTGCCCACATGAAGAAACAGGAGAATAATCACACTAGAGAATTAACAGCACAATTGAAAGCTCTAGAACACAAAGAAGCCAATACACCCTGGAGGAGCAGATGCCAGGAAATAATCAAAGTGAGGGCTGAAATCAATAAAGCCTTGAAGATCTAGCTAGAGCAATAAAACAACACAACAAGATCAAGGGGATACAAATCAGAAAGGAAGAAGTCAAACTTTCACTATTTGCAGATGATGTGATAGTCTACATAAGTGACCTGAAAAACTCTACCAGGGAACTTCTACAGCTGATTAACACCTTCAGTAAAGTGGCAGGAAGCAAGATTAACTCAAAAAAATCTGTAGCCCTACTATATACAGATGACAAATTGGTGGAGAAAGAAATCAGAAAAACATCAAACTTCACAATTGCCACAAACAACATAAAATAGCTTGGAGTAATTCTAATCAAAAAAAAAAAATGAAAGACCTGTATGTAAGAATTTTGAGTCTCTGTAGGGAGACACTGTATCCCCGCCTCCTAGTAACCCCTACTGGTGTGCCTGGCCATGCATGTGAGGGTGTAGTCAAGGGAGGTTGAAGATGACATTGAGACAATTCTTAAGAGGCCACGAACACATGGATGCCCTTCTCTCTGGCCACACTAGCTTGCAGCCTCTGGGCATGCTCTGGCTTGCATTTGGGAAGCTGTTTATCTGAATAAAGAAATCTTAGCCATACGGACTATGGATCATCTTTGAGTGCACACAATAAGTCTCTAAAGAAAGAAATTAAAGAAGATACTAGAAATGGATGGATCCCCCATGTTCTTGGATAGGTAGGATCAACATAGTAAAAATGGCAATCTTGCCAAAAGCAATCTACAGATTCAATGCACTCCCAACCAAAATCCCAACACAATTCTTCACAGACCTTGAAAGAACAATTCTCAACTTTATATGGAAAAACAAAAGACCCAGAATAACCAAAACAACCCTGTACAATAAAGGAACTTCTGGAGGCAACTCCATGCCTGACTTCAAGCTCTATTACAGAGCTATAGTCCTGAAAACAGCTTGGTATTGGCACAAAAACAGACAGGTAGACCAATGGAATAGAGTTGAAAACCCTGATATTAACCCACACAACTACGAACAATTGATTTTTGATGAAGAAGCTAAATTTATGCGATGGAATAAAGAAAGAATCTTATCTTCAACAAATTGTGATGGCAAACTGGCTGCTGGTATGTATAAGACTGCAGATAGATCCATGTCTATTGCCATGCTCAAAACTTAAATCCACATGGAACAAAGACCTCATCATAAATCCAGCCACACTGAACCTATTAGAAGACAAAGTGGGAAATACCCTTGAATTAATTGGTACAGGAGACCACTTCCTGAACATTACACTGGTAGCATAGTCACTGAGGTCAACAATTGAAAATTGGGACCTCCTGAAACTGAGACGCTTCTGTAAGGCTAAGGACACAGTCAGTAAGACAACACTGCAGCCCAACGACTGGGAACGATATTAACCAACCCCACATCTGACAGAGGGCTGATCTCCAAAATATACAAAGAACTCAAGAAGGCAGTCTCCGAAACACCAAACAATCCAATTAAAAAGTGGGGTACAGAACTAAATAGACAATTCTCAATAGAGGAATCTAAAATGAATGGAAAGCAAATAAAAATTCAATATACTTAGTCATCAGGGAAATGCAAATCAAAACAACTCTGAAATACCATTTTACTCCTGTTAGAGAGGCCAAAATAAAAAAACACCAATGACAGTTTATGCTGGGGAGGATTCGGAGAAAGGGGAACATTCCTCGACTGCTGGTGGGAGTGCCAACTTGTACAGTCACTTTGGAAATCAGTATGGCTGTTTCTTAGTAAAATGGTAATCAGTCTACTGCAAGATCCTGAAATTCCACTCTTAGGCATATACCCAAAAGGTGCACATTCATACAACAAGGACATCTGTTCAATGATGTTCACATCAGCACTATTTGTAATAGCCAGAACCTGTAGTGTTCAGTACTTATCCCTAGCATAGGTGTGGACTTTGGGAGCCCAATCCACATAGATGGATCCCCCCTTGGCCAAGACACATGGGGGTGAGCCTAGGCCCTATCCCAAAGTATATGATAGACTCTGATGACCCTCTATGGAAGGCCTGATACTCCCTGAGGAGCAGAAAGGATATTTGATAGGTAGGGTATTAGTTAGGGGAGTGGTAGGGGACAAGGGGAGGGATTTGGAACTGGGATTGACATGTAAATCAATCTTTTTTCTAATTTGAATACAAAAAAATTAAAAAGACAAAGAGCATAGCTACTATATTGTAAAATACATTTTGCTAAAGAAGCAAGTATGATACCTTTGCACATTACTAAGTTAATCAACAGATATGGGCATCAGAGTTTCAAGCAGTTATTTAGGAATAAACAGCACAAGGGAGCAGGCTTGGTCATTAGGCTTTATGACATTTCAACATAAATAGAAATGAAGAGAACAGAAAGCTAGATAGATGGTGGAGCAGTAAAGAGTATGTTACAGACTGTAAATCAGTTTCAAGCATCCAAGTCAGGGGCTCACAAGCACCGATAACTGCAGATCAAGGGAATCTGAATCCCCCTTTGGGACTTTAAAGACACCACATGCACATGTGCAAATACACACACATACACACACACAGACACACACATACACACACACATACACACACACACATACACACACAGAGACACACACACACATACATACACACACACACATACACACACACAGACACACACACACAGACACACACACACACACACACACACACACACACACATTTTACAATATTTTAAATGAAGAGAACAACTTCAGTAATTTAAATACCAGGCGAAGGTGCTCATATTCATGATGTCTCTTCCTTTTTTCCTGAGTCAGCTGTTCCTCTTGACGCTTTTTCTGATGCTGCAAAAGTTCATTCTTCTCCTGCAATTCTCTCAGCTTGGCCTGTGCTTCATCTACCTTCTCAGTCAACTCTTTCCTGTGGTCCTCATCACTCTCTCCTTTCTGTTGCAGCAACTGTTCATTCCTTTGTTGCATTTCTTTCATTTGGGCCTGTGACTTCTCCATCACTTCAGTCAGCTGTTTCATGTGCCTCTCATGACTCTTCTCTTTATGTTGCAGCAACTGTTCAACCAACTGTTGCATTTTCTTATTCTGGGCCTGTGCCTTCTCCATCATCTCAGTCAACTGTTTCCTGTGCTCCTCATGAAACTTCTTTTTCTGTTGCATCAACTTTTTATTCTTCTCCTGCATTTTCTCATTCTGGGCCTGTGCCTTCTCCATCACCTCAGTGAACTGTTTCATGTGCTCCTCTTGATTCTTTATCTGTTGCTGCAACTGTTCATTCCTCTGTTGCATTTCTCTCATCTGGGCCTGTACCTTCTCCATCATCTCAGTCAACTGTTTCATGTGCTCCTCATGGCTCTTCTCTTTCTGTTTCAGCAACTGTTCAATCTTCTGTTGCATTTCCTCCTGCATTTTTGCTGTAGCCTGCGCAGCTTCAGCTTTCATACGCTCCACTGGGAAAGCAATGAAGAAGGAAAGTGTAAATGCACCATGTGGCACTCTGTTCCTCACCTGCTGCATTGTTACTGCTGACATCATTGTCCTATCCATGTCCAATACTAGCAGTGAGACACAGCTTTGTTCTTTTATATCATCTTTAGCTTCCCAGATTTAAAGTAATAAACATTCCAGAGCTTTCAAGTGCGTGTAGCCACTTAACTTGTGCCTCACCTTCACTCTCCTTTTCCTTCACTCTCAGCTCCTGGTCTATTTGTAGAATTGCGTCAGTCACATCATCCTTGGACTGCAAAAATTTCTGCAGAACTTTCTCTGTGTTCAAGTACAGAGAACATGAATTTAACAGCAGGAATGACTACAAACTTTTGTGCCTGTCTCCCTCCCCCCCCTTTCATTTACTGATGTCTCTTGGTGCTATGATTTTCAGACACAGAAGTATATACATAGCACAGGGTGGACCCCACTGAGGAATCTTTTATTAGAGACCCATTTTGAACAAATATATGGTCCTTCTAGACTATGGGCTCTAACTTTGGAAAAATGGTGCTGTGCTGATAGGAGGGGTGATTTTGCTGTAGCTTTCATATTGAACAAAAGATCTGAGAGATGATTAAAAGAGGATAGTATTATTAGATCCTAGTTAGTAGAAGGAACACTGTTTGTTCACAGCTCATTCTGCCCTAAGATGTTTCCCACAATTTCTGGGGGCTTAGCTACAACCCAAAACACCCTTGACAGGTGTCTAGGATAAAATTAATCCACAGACATCCCCCCTCCTGATTGGTTGGCCCCAACACTAGCCACAGCAACAAACTATAGGACTCACTGATAGGCTAAAAGTGCGCCACCATGAAAGCCCCCAATTATTTCTTCCCATATTACATTTTGATTGAGTGAATCTTGGGGGCTGTCTCTTTCTGGTTTTCTTCCTTTAAGTTGCTTGCTGTCCCTGTTTGAGGGCATTGTATGGATCCAAAACCTGTCCCCTCCCTGATATATCGGGTTTTCAAATGAATTTTTGAACTGCTCATACCCTGCCTTTGAGGTGGATTATTTTTGGATTCTCAGACCACAGCATGTGGTGCCTTGACCAGTATCTGATGATCCACCAGTTTCAGTCTCTGACTCAGTTGACTTTTCCTGGCCTGTGTGGTCTTGTGTGATCTGTGTGGTTTTGTGGCCTGTGGAATCTTTTTCTGGGTCCCAAGAGAAAAGAAACTGTATGCAATATTGTTCATGGATCAGATGGAGATGAGAGACATCTCATATCCTCCTTGGGCCTCTGGGCATTGGGAGTATCTGGGGCATCTAGTCTCTGGGACTCTGCTGAAGAGGTGGCTGGTCCACTTAGTTCTGAACAGGACCATATTCTACTGACACCCTGAACCCCTGGACTCCATCTGTGTCACTGTGGTTTCTTCATCACTGTCACATTGGACTATTGGTTTCTCTTTGTATACTCACTATTTGAATCCTCAGTTTCTGTGGGATCAAGGGACAAACTCCATCTTTGGGCCACCCTAATTCCACCCTTGATCATTACTTACAGCATTTCTAAGACGTCAAGATGAAGGTTCAGCAATCAGGAGATTCTGTCTTCTCTGGAAAGCTACACAGTCTCTGACAGCTCAAGTGGCTGACTTTTGGAGTCTACTGACCTCCCAAGGGCACCTTTACCCTCTCCATTTCTCTTGCAGTCCACACAAGAATTTTTGGCAGCCCAGGGCACCTGAACCAAATGTCTTATATAGTGTCCTGTGTGTTCTACTAGGAAGACCTCCCAAAATAGATCCAATCCCAACTGTGAAGTTGATTAGAGGGAATTTCTACTGTCTGCCCTGTTAAAACTCAGGCTCCCATCTTACCTCCATATGAAGAAGACTCCCTCCCTCTTCCTTATGAGTTGACTCAAGAAACAGAGAACTCAGAAGCTCCCAGGGTTCCCTCCTCCACCATTCTCAACCATGGCTGCTCAGGTTCCTTGTCCCACCCCACCTTCTCTCTACCCAAAAGCTGAGGTCAACCTGGCATCTGCCTCCAACACTGATTCCCTTTCCTCACCCCCCACCACACACACCCATTCTAGGATGCCTTACCAGTTCACATCTGGATGCCTGGAACCCATGCCCTGCCCCTCAGACAGGCCCCTCCCATACAGTGGATCAAACAAGGGGGAAACCAGATCCAGGAACCTTACTGAGTCTATACTCTCTTCAGTAAAACTGACATTTATAACTGGAAAGCCAGATTCTCACATTCTCTGAGAAGCCCCAGAGTTTTTTCTTGGCAACCATTTTGCATAGTCAACTGGCACAGCTGGGATGACCTTCAGCTGTTCCTGCTAATCTGCTTCACTGACTGAAAAGGGGAGAGAATTTGAAGGGAGGCTTGGAAACAGGACCTAGAGAAGATGGAAAGCATCCATTCTACCTACTGTCATTCCAGGTGCCTTCCCTTCTCTTTGCCCCAACTGGGACCTCTATTTTGGTGGAGGTAAAGAGTCCCTGAGGGTCTTTCTCCAGACTTTATTGGGTGGTCTTTGGGTGGCTGTGAAGCAACCCACAAATTTGTCTGAAGTCATTCAAGTAGTCCAGGAAACAAGGAGTCCCCACCTGCTTTTCTGGACCAATTGATAGAAGTGTATCTCACCTATTCCCTTATAGACTCAGAAGCAGAAGAAAACAGGAGGGCTATCAACATAGATTTGTGACTCAATCTGTGTCTCACACTATGTAAAAAGCTTCAGAAGTTCGAGGGATGTGAGGGAGACAAAAGTCTCAAAGTTGGTAGAAATAGCCACCAGAGTTTACAACAATCCCGAGGACCAGGAGGAGAGGAAGGCTTGGAAGACTGAAAAGTAATTTTGGCTGCATTAAATGAGGACCCCAGCCAAAAGACATGGCACTCTGGGGTAGGTGGCAAAAAAGCAGGTCCCATGAGATTGGAACCTGCTGGGGACAGACCCTGCTACAAAGAAATCAGTGTATGATTTGTAAGGTATTTGGACATCAGCAAACAGAGTGCCACAATTGGTCAGAGAAAAAAATCCAAATAAATTTTTCAAACTTGAAGAAAACCCAGGAGGTCAGTGTTTTGTCTCCCTCCAGGAGGTGAGGAAAACTCTCAAAGTAGAGGGAAAGTTTGTAAAAGTACCAATAGATGCAAGGTCTCAATTATCCTTCCTAATGGAGCCAGGGGTTCACTAATCCTGCCCAACAGACTTTCATCCATAGTTCTATGGGTACCAAGACTTACCCATGAGCCACTGTAAGAGAGGTGAATCTAGGGAGAGGCACAGTGACTCATTCCTTCACAGTGACCCCAAATTCTCTTATTGCCTCCTGGAGTGAGATTTGCTGCCCAAACTGATCTTCAAAGATGATGCTATAAACATTAAATTCCCTCAAAATAAGGTTCCAAACTCTGGAATTTTTGTTGCTCTTTGCCTGGGGGAAGAATACCTCTTTAATCCCCAGGGAAAGGGAGCCTGGGAATGCCAAATGAACCCCCCACCCACCATTGAAGGAACTCCAATTAAAGTTCCCACTAATGTGGGCAGAGAATAGCCCACCTGGATTAGGACAGAACCTAGAGCCAAACATAATGCAACTGAAGCCAGAAGACTGCACCCAATATAGATTGTTGACTCTGTTATGGCAGGTATATGAGCTGCCACCCCCCACCCAAAACCTCATAGCTACAATCCAAGAGACCTTGACTGGGTCAGAAATCACCAGAAGGAGTGTTTGCAGACTCTCTAGAAGGGACCCCATTCTTTTATATTGACCACCCCCTCAGCAGTGAAAGTACATGAAATTAAATCTGGTGTATATCACTCCCACCTAAAGTCAGTTCCAGTCAGTGATCCAACAAGGACAAAAACAAACATGGACTATGTGACCCCACCCACAGGACCCACTATAGCTAAGATTCATTTCTACCTGACTTTCCTATTCTCCCTAATGGATCTGATAAAAGCTTACAACCCATATATGTCAGTCCTGATGTCATGGTTCCCTATCCCACACTAGGGATTGGACTACGATAGCAAATGTTACCACATATGGGTCTCTCATGTTCCATGTAGATCTCTGCAGACTGCTGGGTTTGAAGGTCCTACCCAAAAGATAGAGGAGGGGTCCCACAGATGTATTTAGGGGTATCAAGACTTGGCTGTGGGCATCCTGTTCTGTAGACCAACTAGGCAACAAATTCATTCTATGCTTGCCCAGTGGGAAAACTAAATTATGGGGTTCTAGAGGATTATTACTGTTCCTCTTGAGATGTTAGACACATGGGCCATGGGTGAAGAAGTATGGATGGACAAAGACCTTATGAGAAGAGAGGGACTCGGATCTGGCCAGCAGGTGGAAAAGCTAAGCCTGGTCCAAATAAATGTTTATGTTTGTTTGTCCACTGCCTGGGAAACGAGAAAGACTTGGGACTCAGGATGAGCAACCACGTCCTCCCAGATTCTGGAATACTTTCAGCATTCAGAAGTTTCCCCCACAGGAGGAATGGATCCCAGAACCTATTGCCCCCAACTGAATACTGGACCCTGTTCAGGATGAGGGAGTGGTTTTCATCCCTATCGTCATATCTACTCAGGCTCCAGAATGTGAAGGAGAGTGACCTTGGCATCAGTCTGTAGCCAGCACAACACAGAGAGCTCTGCAGCCCTTCTCTCAGTATACTATGTATTCAACCTTTTAAACTCCTCCTCTCCAGATCCTACACAGAAATGTTGATTTTTGTCATGACCCCAGAATCCCCCTATTATATGGGGATAGGCTACAGTGCAGAAATTGGTTGTAGGGAGACATCGTGACCACGCCTCTTAAGGGCTGGATACATGTGTGTCCCTACAATTGGTGTCAAGAAATATTATGTCAGAAACTGCACACCTCCTTGATTTATCAGCTTTTAAAACAAACTCTTGGCCTGCTCAAACCCTGTGTTTGTCCTGGAATATTTTCAGATTCTCAGACCCTCTTAGTATAAGGCTGGATAAAAGTAACAGACAAAGAGACATGGGATGATATTACTGCACCCAGTTGTCTTTTAATGCCAATTCTAGGCCCAAACTGATGAAATATATGTTTGTTAAGGGACTGTTATTGGACTCTTTGCAACACAAATAATCTATCTGATACACAGGGTGACAGTCATACTGGTGGTTAATATGTTTGTTAACTGTGAACTCAATCGTCAAGGGAGTGCACTGTCTCTGAATATGCAGGGCATATGCAGTGGGACAACCTTCACCTATGTCATGTTGAAGAAGCATATGCCTGTAATGCAAACATTAAGACACTCTCATAGTGATGCTTGGGGTTCACTATGCAGTCTGAAGGAAAGTCAATGGCTTTCTAGAACATACATGTAACCATTGTTACCTGAACCCCCTTCCTGGGTTTTTCATAGTTCTTTTTCTTCAGCTTCTGTGTATTCAGAAAAACAGGGGGAAATACCCATGGTATGTAATTAATCCCCTGCTTCATGTTTTCTTCTAGTGGACTGAAAATATCCGGAAGCAGAGCTGAGTAGCGATCTGAGGATGCCAGTAGATTCTTCTTAAGGAATTCCTCTTGTGTTGTTTCTAGCTCGGTCTTTGATGTAGAAATGAAAAGAAAATAATTAAGAATGGAATGAAGCCTGAGTTTAGAATTTATGATGCATTTCTCTAAACAAACACAAAACAACAAATGAAAACTTATAAGCATTGACTGTGACAGCATCTTTCCTCTGATGCCAGCCTTTTACTGACACCATCATTGCCTCTTTGCAGTGAAGTTCAGATCAGAGATTTACTGATTTAGAAGTAAAATGATTTCAGGCTGAACAAAAGATGTCACATGAAATAAACATGGCTCAATGTCAACTTGCCTCTAATATTTCAAAGCATAAATAGCTTTGCTATTGGACTGAATGTTGAATCGGTCTACTGATACTGGGCATGCAACTTGATCAGACACACAAATTACTTCTCTGTACTTAACTCAATGAAGAGGGGAATGTTACTAACTTATTTTAAAAGAAGAGATATTTTAAAGCCTTGAGTCTCTGTTGATCCATTTTTGTCCCATTTAGTATGATTTTTTTTCTAGACCAATAAGCCTGTTAATTTTTGTACAATGCCAACTCAACACGGTAAACTGGGATACTTTTTTCCAAAGTTGACAGCTAAAGTTTCCAAAAATTCAAATTATATATATATTTATATATATATATGTATATATATATATATATGTACATATATATATATAAAGACCAATAATGGCAGTATATTATGCATCAATAGCAGATTTTTAAGAAGTAGTTATTACTACTTTGCAATCTAGTAACATATGCCTGCATCCAACACTTATTTCATTTTCTCATAGCACATTGCCTAACAAAATCTACATCTAGGTAAATTTGAGAGATAAATTACCACTAATTGTGTCATGAACACTTGATTAACGTCTTTAAAGGAATTATCCATGAATATCTTGATGGCTTTCTCACTGGCCCTGTGCAGTTCCATCAGCTCCTGGAGGGTCTCTGTGGGCAGCTGCAACTTCTGGCTCACCTACTGGTCATAGTGGGCAATGGCCTTCTGCACTGCAGCAGCATTCTCTGTCTGGGACAAAGCCAGGACAGCATTCTCTATGCAGGGCAGGCTCCCACTGCAGATGGTGGTCACATAGGTTACCACCGAACTCTTTAGTCCTACAAACAGATGGCAATGTCTGCTACTGATGGATGATGAATACACTAATCTGTTTAATTCTGGATATATCAATCACTGATGACTTAAAGCATCAGTGCTCTTAGCATCATTTGGAAAAATGACAGACAGAAGCACCTCAGCCTCTACCTCAGGTTTATGGGATTAGACCTTCATCTATGCAAAATACTCTCATGATGTGTGAGACCCCAAAGCCTTTGAATGCTGGATAGAGATTACATGAATAGTGTCAATGGAATGTTTGTGTCCAGTTCGATGCAAGCACCATGAGAACAGGATCCATACCTATGTCATGTTTGTCTGTGTCAGCAGGCCTCTCCATAGTAAGTATTTCATTTGAATTTAGTAATAAAACATGCACTCCTATTCAGAAATTCTCCATCAGGTTGATTAGAATAAATTGCCTCATCCAATAGAACTTTATGTATGTACTGATGTGAAAATGACTAGCTCTGTGTGAATTTTATTGCATTATACCTAAATTTTGACAGCCATACTTGTTTAGTTGCTGTCTGGTGAATTCAGTTTTCTAGAGTAATTTAAAAGGTTTTTTTTTTCTTTTACCCCCTTTCCTTCCTCCCACCAAGAAAACTGATGGACAAAATTTATTATAAAGGTTGGTACCATCTCCAGCTTAACATTACAGTAGTAATAGGTTTATGTTTCTTCAAAGCAGAAGTTGGCCATGACTATCTCATGGTAGTGAACAAAAGGACTTGGAAGGGACTCACGTTCTCCATTGACCTTGATGCCTCCTGAAAGGTATTTAACCTTGTGACAGCTGGAAACATAGGAACAGAACTCTGGATTTGTGCCAGGAAGTCAGAGTCCAGGTCTTGATCCTGCAATGATTCCATCTGACCAACCTTCTTTTGTGCTAGCCATCAAATGGAAAATAATATGAGATTTAGAGAAATTAACTTATACTGCAGCTTATATAACTAATCAAACATTCATTTACTCATTAGTTTAAAATCATAACAAACAGTGACCTATGGACTTCACGCTTCATTGTTTGATGCATGTATTCACAATTATTTCTAGATATTATAAAATATATTCATTCTATGCATCTGAATAGTTACACCCATGTTATGGCCAGAAATTCTAGAGATTCTAAAATGTATCCACTCTGTCTATTCTGGTAGTTATTCTCATGTGGAAAATAGTCTGTATCTACAGAATTAATCATATTGTCATTCCTACAAAAGAAGCAACATAACGTGTTTTTTGCAAAATTTGTAGAAATACGTGACAGAGTCTATTCCAGACAAATGGCTACACAAGAACAGTGCCTTGAAAACTAAGCTTTATTAACTCTGAATGAGCCATGAATAAAAACTGGGTTTGAGCTCACAGCACATGAGACTAAACCCACCTATGCACATACTGGATATTGTACAAAGCAACAGTGTTGTAAATAGCAAGAAATTGGGGAGCTGGTGTTTTCATCAATGACTTTGTGCCATTCCCCTTAAGTTTTCTATATACTCGTCATCTGGAAGAAAAATGAGAAATGCAAAGAGGAGGAAGAGAAACACTTGGAAGGATAGGCTAGGATCTGACCAGGTAGAACAGAGCTGTCAAAAAAAAATGTGATGAGTGAGAATGGTTTCTGGAAGGGGGTTCTGGCCTCCAGAAAACAGGAAATACTGCTTGAGGACCTGGAATTGGGGACAAGGTAATCAGACTTTGTCCTCATTTATGTGTGTCTGGGAATCTTCTAGAAAGCCCTTGCCTACTTTATAGGATTTGTTCCTTCAGGATAGAGTTAAGGAGTACATGGACATGAGGAATGAGCCAATCTTATGAGGAGATGAGTCAGTCAAGGAGGAAATTCACTTGACATCCAAGATTAGATGTGTGATGGTGACTGCCCTTCCTTCAACTTTCACTCTGGGATTCAGCTGTGAACTGAGGTTCCCAGGAAAGAGTCATAACTATGTCAATGTACCTACAAGGTTGACTGACTAATTAGAATTTGTGTGATTGTGGAAATCTGGGATGTTGCAATGTCTAGAGCCAGATTTCCTGGGTTATCTTTAGCTGCCTCGTTGGCCATTTCCTGTATCAGAAGGCCTGTAGCAAACTCCCCCATATGGCCATAATCTGCCAGTCCCATGTTGGCACCCATGTATTTTAAAAGTACCTTGATCTATGACTATTTCATTCGGTTGTTACAGAAAATTAAAAAATTTGCCAAGGTGGAACATGCTGGGTGTGGTAAACTGAGCTTGTGTTTTGGGACCACTGGTCACACATATTCAGCTATAGAATAGACCACATCTCTTACTCACTTTGTGTTCTCATAGCAAGGCAACATTTCCTCTCTTTGTCCTTCACCAAGGCTTTTTCCATGCCTCATTCTGATTCCCTCTTGAAAATAAGCCACAGGCAGCTCTTTCTCTAACAGATCTGCTCTGTCACTAACCATAGTCATTTAACTGTGTCCTTGTCAGCACAGACAAGGTTAACACAAAGGAAAAACATGCCAGTGCATATGCTGCCCTGTTTCAGTCACAGGCCTTCTTGGCCCTAACTTAAAATTAGCATAATGGTGGCATTTAGAGACTGGATTCCCTGATAATACCACCCAGGGTTCATTGGCTGCTGTACCCCACTTCTTCCCAGGAGCAGCTGTTTCTAGTCATGGTAGTTCTAAAAAGTGAAATTAACCCTCAAAACTCCATCTTATTCCTGCTCAGGCTTTGGCCACATGTTCCAGAGCAGAATTCCCCAGACCTAGCAAGGTTAAGTGTCTCTTCTTACCTGATCTTTGTGGTCAGTATGGGTGGAAGTGTTCTGCCTCTTTTGTTTTATATCCTCCTGCAATCTTGTGCTGCTCTCTGAATTTTCCCAAGTGAGCAAATGATGAAAAGCACTGTAGCTTTTATAGTATGGTGAAGTACAGAGAAACTGAAACCATTTGGTCACAGAAGTAAAATACAGTGCTGTAAAAAGCTCAGTGTGTAGGTGGAGGGTTTTCCAGGACTTCTCACCATAATCTTCAATAGTTGGTTCAAAGAGGTCATGAACCATTTGTTATGTAAAACCATGCCATAAGAGGGAGCCCAAACTTGACACTACCTGAATGGCCAGGAACCAATACAGGGGCTGAACAGCCCAGGGATCCAGGATTGAAACTTATGACTGGGGAAAAAGCAATCAAAGAAACAAACAAACAAAAAAAAACATTTCCTTGAGATATGGAGATATGGAATAATTTTCAGTTTGTGGCCTGCTTAGAAAAGCATAGATGAGGATGAGGGATGTACATAATGTTTATAGCCTAATTTCTGAAAATTACAGACAAACGATGGCATTGCATATTTTTTAGAGGTGCAGTAAGTGAGGGAACAGTGTGTCTTCCAACCTGCTCACACCCAGCACCTGGTTCGTAGGCTGTGTGCAGTCTGGTGATGGGGGCTTTTTTGATACTGGGAATACTTAAAGAGAGGAACTAGATTTTGAGAAAGGAAAGAGTGTTTTCTCATGTTAAAATATGGGAAACAATAATACAATGGAGGAAGTTAGGTCTCTCTATAATAACACATTGGACGGTCTGAAAGTAGAACAATTAAATTAGCGGAAAATTAACTTAGCTTGGATTTACATAATGTTAATTATAATCATAATCCGTTTGGTAATTCTAGAATTTTCCCTAAAACACTTGGTTGACATCACTGCCAAATATGAAAAATCGAGTGATAAGATACAATCCTTAGAAAAACTTTCTATTCCTATTGTGGCTGGTCCTGACACCTTTCTCAGCCCCAAAGAAGTACATGGATGCTATAAATAAATATAAATCTGATAGCCAGTGACTTGGGCCTCTTACTGGATAGCTCTGTCTTAATTATTAACCCATTTCTATGAATCTAATTATTTCCACTGGTATTATCTTACCAGAGAAGGGTCTGGACCTGTAACACCTTTGGTGGCTCACATGGTGACTTCTAAGCATCTCCACCAAGAAGAGAGTAATTTCCTGTTTTCTTTGCTTATATCCTGATTCTGCCCAGCTACTTCTCTTCCTGTCTGTCCAATCAGTCAATCAGTATTTTATTCATTAACCAATCAGAGAAACATATATACAGAAGAAAATTCCATATCACTTACTACTGATAATATTCAATCCCTAACACTAATTACAAATGAAAATAATGCAATTTGACTGCTGGGTTACAAGCCTTAGAAAAAGCATATTAAAACAGATAATAGAGACATTCAGACACAGACTGGGGAATTTAAAGGAGAATCAACCTCAAGATTACATTATAAAATCATAGAGGAACAGCCCAAGGTTATCAAACAACCAAACTTAATCTTTCCAATCATCCTAAGAGAACAATTGCCAAATGATAGATATTACCAAGGCTGTGTAAGAGCTGACTGGTTTCCTGTGGGAATGTTAGATTTGAGGAGATTTAAGAAACCCATAGACTCATGTGGTATACATTCCCCTTTTGTGAAGCAGATGTTAAATTTGTGGTCAACTAATAATAGAATCCTCCCACAAAACTGGAAAGTCTTGATTACAGCAGTATAGGGGCCAGATCCTCAATTGCAGTGGAGGACCTGAGGGAAAGATGAGGGTAGGACCACTGAACATCAAAGGGTGAGAGGTATTGAAATCTTCCAAGACCAAATTCTTCAAGAGGGTAATTGTGCTGATGTACAAAGGGAGTCTCTATATGACCATACCCTGGCTCTATGCTATACAGCAGCTTTGTAAGACTGGGACAGAATTAGAGAAAAGAAATATTGACTGACTTTTTTTGCAATGTTTGCTTTTAGCTATTAATGGAATGATAACAAATCAAGAAGCTAGATGAATAATAATTGAGTGTCTGGCTTTTAAAAATGCTAATATCCAATGCAAAATGATAATTAGGCATTTAAAGGCAAGATCAGCACCCATAGAGAAATGGATCCTAGATACAGTCAATATTGAAGGTCATACCATAATGATACTTGGATAAGCAAGTTGATTTCCATAAGCTTAAAGAAAAATCTAAATATCAAGTGTTTTAATTATAGTAAACAAGGTAACATAAGAAGGCACTGTAGACAGAGCATTCCTAGAAATAATGTTTCTTCTAATCCAAACAGAAGACCCTTGCCTTCTGGAGTAGGCGGAAGGTATGGCAGAGGCTTGCATTGGACCAATGCAAGCATTTCGGGAAGGGACAGGTAGATAACTCTTTGCCTTTGAGAAACACTTTGGGGGGACTCTCATAGGCCCCTGCATCAAATGTGTTCAATCATTGTGGCCACATGCAATGGGAATAACCAACCTTTTTTAAAATTTGGTTTAAGGCTCACTCCTGACCCTGTTAAAGTTGCCAAGAACATGGGACTAGATAGGTCACAGGCCTAGGATAAAACCTACTACTACTATTTTGCTAACAAAACCTGTCAAGCCAATGGCTCCTAATTATTGCTGTACTCATACATCAATGACTTTCTCACCCCACATCAGAGAAGCTTCTTCTTGCAGTAGATGGAAATTAACACAGAAAACCACAAATGGACAGTATGCAGAGAATGAGAGACTTTGGGGCACTCAGCCCTACCTGGGATACCTTCATCAACAACCAACCCCCAATGCTCAGGGATCTACCCAGAAGAGTCATACAGATTGCAAGAGCTCAGGGTAATGAATGACTCCAAGGAAACATCATTTTCCAGTATAACAGGACCAATGCACTTATGAACTCACTGAGATTCTGGCAGAATACAAAAGACCTGTAAGGCTCAAGCCAGACAGGAACCCACAAAGGAGGGGGGCAGTTAGACACAGGGTCCTACCGCTAATAAAGAAGCTATTTGAAGTCAAAACCATCTGGCAAGAGAAAATTCAGTTTTCTCCAGGGAAGTCTCAATGACTATATCAATCACACTTTAGGGCAGACCCCATGATCAGAAATAACTGGCCAACACAAAATGAACTCAGTGATATTTTTCTAGACTTTTTGTTTCATTTTGCTTTGGTTTGGCTGTTTTTCTGTCTTATTATTACAACACCCCCTCTCTCTTTAAGTGTGTGTGGGGGGTGTGGGGGGTGTGGTTGTGGGTGTGTAATTTAGTCCAAAGAGTACATGAAAGCACACATGGAAGTAAAATCATCTGGAAGAATAAAGATGACAAGGGGGATAGGTGTGACAAAAGGAGGAAAGCCATGAAAAACAATGTGACCAACATACAATATAGATTTGTATACAATTGTCTTTATGGAACATAGTAACATATACAATGAGTATGCTTAGTGAACTTTCTAAAAGTCATTAAATGAAATTAAAAGGACAAATTGATTAACTTCAGCACAGTGCTGATGGTGCATATGATCAAGCAGAGAGTTGTCATTCAGCAAGTCTGCAATATGTGCATTCTTTGATTGATTGCTCATCTTGAGGGAAAGTAATATGAGCTGTTCTCAGTAAATGTTCTAGGCTAGATCTCATGCAAGTGTGTGTGGGTTAGGCAAATAGCAATCCATTTTTGTCAAAACTTGTCTGACTCTGGAAGCAACTAGAGTAAAAGACACATCAACAACGGATTCACAACCAGTCTTCCAATACATTTGTGTTCATAGCCCCTCCTCCAAGTACAAGGTGAGATTAAATGTCAGTTCATAAATGTACTGTTGGTGGCATCAGTCCTTGAGGTCCTCACTATAATCTTTTACTCTACATACGAAATTGGGAAGCTGATATACAATTCCCTGATGAGACATATCACTTCATCATGGGACTCACAGACTTAAATTTCCATTATTCTTGTTATGTATAGAGTTGTCTATCAATGATTGTGGAGCAATAATTCCAAGACCTTCATGGTTGTCAGTGTTGCTCAAGTCCATTATTTTTTAGGGAATAATAATAAAAGAAATGCCTTATATATGTTCAGTGAAGGAGTAATTTTAAAAATGTGTTTTCCACAGTTAGCAGAGTCCAGATTACTGGGAATTGTCATTACAGAAGGAGAAGTGTCCATGTAAACAAAAACTATGCTATATAAATACCAGTTGATGGAAATGTCTAGTTTAGGTATGGTGAATAAATTCTCTGTGGGTTCACAAATCCCAGGGTAGAATTTCAGATCAAAACTTTTTCAGGTACT